GACCCCATGGACTGCAGCCTACCAGGCTCCTCCGTCCATGGGATTTTCCAGGCAAGAGTACTGGAGTGGGGTGCCATTGCCTTCTCCGGTATTATATATTAACCCCCCCTTACTCCTCACTCTTTCTAGAGATGTTGATGGCATAGAAAAATAAATGAATGTCCAAAGCTCGATCCTGAGTAATCAAAAAAAAGGCTATGACATATTTCATCTGCTAAGTGTTATGAGCTGAATTAGGCCCTCTCCATCTGTATGTTGAAACTCTAGTCTCCCAGGGTCTCAGAATGTAGCTGTACTTGGACAAAGAGTCTTTAAAGAGGTGGTGAAGTTAAAGGAAGGCTTTCTTATCTCTCCTTGCTATTCCTTGGAACTCTGCATTCAGATGGCAATATCTTTCCTTTTCTCCTTTGCTTTTTGCTTCTCTTCTTTTCACAGCTATTTGTAAGGCCTCCTCAGACAGCCATTTTGCTTTTTTGCATTTCTTTTTCTTGGAGATGGTCTTGCTCCCTCTCTCCTGTACAATGTCATAAACCTCTGTCCATAGTTCATCAGGAACTCTGTCTATCAGATATAGTCCCTTAATTCTATTTCTATTTCTTACTTCCACTGTATAATTGTTAGGAAATTGATTTAGGTCATACTTGAATGGCCTAGTGGTTTTCCCCACTTTCTTCAATTTAAGTCTGAATTTGGTAATAAGGAGTTCATGGTCTGTGCCACAGTGAGCTCCCAATATTGTTTTTGCTGACTTTATAGAGCATCTCCGTCTTTGGCTACAAAGAATATAATCAATCTGATTTCAGTATTGACCATCTAGTGATGTCCATGTGTAGAATCTTTTCTTTTGTTGATGGAAGACAGTGTTTGTTATGACCAGTGTGTTCTCTTTCCAAAGCTCTTAGGCTTTGCCCTGCTTCATTCTGTACTCCAAGGCCAAATTTGCCTGTTACTCTTCTTGACTTTGTACTTTTGCATTCCAGTCCCCTATAATGAAAAAGATATCATTTTTGGGTGTTAGTTCTAGAAGGTCTTGTAGGTCTTTGTAGAACCATTCAACTTCAGCTTTTTCAGCATTACTGGTCCAACTTAAATAGCATATTAAAAAGTAGAGCTATTAATTTGCCGACAAAGGTCCAGATATTCCAAGCTATGATTTTTCCAGTAGTCATGTATGGATGAAAAAGTTGGACTATAAAGAAAGCTGAGCACCAAAGAATTGATGCTGAGCTAGATTCTGTGCAAAGCTATAGTGTGGAATGAACAGGGCTGTGATGGTTGTCATACTTGGATTTGGAAGTAGGGTGAACTGCCAGGTGCTGGTGTAAAGCTTCTCCTCGGTGTTTGTTGGCAAGCCAGCACCTGTGTACTCTTCAAGATCAGAATCTAGGCCTCTGAAGCTGTGCTGTTTGTCTCAGAACTTCTCCCAGCAACCAATGGGTTTGTTTCCTCCCTTGTTGCTGTTATTCAGTCTCTCAATCATGTCTGACTTTTCACAACCCCAAGGACTGTAGCACGCCAGGCTTCACCATCTCCCAGAGATTGCTCCAATTCATGTCCATTCAGTTGGTGATGTTATCCAGCCAGCTCATCCTCTGTCATCCCCTTCTCTTCCTACAGGACCCTAGGACTGGGGCACCCATTGTATGACTCAACTCCTTTGTTCCCTAGGGGAAAGGATCCACCTGTATGGATCTTCTCTAATTTTTTTTTTTTTTAAGATCTCTCTCAGAGACAAAGTTGCCAATCTTATGTCTTTTGTCCAGCCTACCATTGGTGTGGAAATTATTCTTGAAGCTATATTTGTATAGGAGTTCTACCAGTCTCCCTTTAGTTTTCTGTGAAAACTGTTCCATGTGAAGATGTAATTTTGATGTGTTTGTGGGGAGAGTTGAGCTCCATGCCCTCCTATTCCACCATCTTGACCTGATCCTATACCATATATCTAATGCTGACATATATAATTTTTCCATATTTAACACAGTATTATTATTATATTTATATTTGATAAATGTTACAGTAAAATATAATAATGTGAAGACTAAAATCCTTCTTGAAAATTTTCTATGCATTTAATGAGACTAGTTAATGCAAATTATATTTCACTAGCTATTTAGTGCTTTAGAATGTTAATGTAGTCAGACTTCAGTAACCCTTGAAGTAAGTGACACCATCACTATAACTGTATTAGTTTATCTGATGGAACAGCTGAGATATAGGGAGGTTATATAACTTGCCCAACTCCACACAAATCTGCAATAAATTTTCAGTGATTTAAGTCTATGCTATCTGCATTCAGAGTGTAATCATTATGGTATGTTGGCTCCCCTTTCTTGTCACAGTTACTTTCAAAATGTGACACTGATAGTTTCCCATTTTTAAGCTAAATTTTAGTTATAATATTATAACACAAGTATAATTATTGTTCCTGTTATGTATTAGGTTTAGAACAAGACTCATTTTATTTTTATCTCTCATAGTTCCGGGTGTTGTGTGGGCTCAGCTGGGTGATTCTCCTACATGTTTTCTTAGATGGCTTCAGTCTTATGGTGACTGGGGTTGTAATAATTTGAAAGTACTTAGTGATTGGTCTGTGAAAACTCAAACTATTGGGGGGCTGGAACTACTGGAACTTCTTAGACATATCTATGTATCTCTTCAGAAATGATCATTTATAATGCAAAAATTTAGTATGGTACAGAGTTCCACTGTGAGCAGAGAGAGAGGGAAAGAGAGAGACAGAAATAGAGAGCCAGCATGTGTTGCATGTCATAATTGAGCTTTGGCAGTTAAACAGCAACATTTGAAAGACAGCAACAAAACATACTAAAGTTCAAGAGAGAAGAAATTAGTTGATGGAAGGGATGCCAAAATATTCGAAGTCATGTCAAAAATACTGCAAATGCAAATATTCAAAATCAGTCAGCAGAAGTCCCTACTGTAGTAAAATTAAATATTGACATTAAAACCACAGTAAAGTCATTAAATAAATTTTTGTGAATTATGATTTGTGAAACTTTTGAAATTATAAACATATATTGTCATCAGTTCAGTTCAGTCACTCAGTCATGTCCGACTCTTTGTGACCCCATGAACCACAGCACGCCAGGCCTCCCTGTCTATCACCAACTCCTGGAGTCTACCCAAATCCATGTCCATTGAGTTGGTGATGCCATCCAACCATGTCATCCTCTGTCGTCCCCTTCTCCTCCTGCATATTTTCACATTTTTTATTTAAAATATCTAAACATGAAGTTGGTATTTTAAAAAATGTCCCTAGATTGATGTATTGAATAGTATGACAGATTACTAGTTAATTCAAGTGTTCTGAAAGAAACTAATACATTGGTAATATGACATGAAAATCTTAGAACTTATTTTCTTGAATCAATGTTTATTTCACTAGTTATTTAAAACCACATAATAAATGAAAACATTATTGTGAAAGAGCAAATAATGAAGAAATTAGAATAAAAATGTAAATGCTCTTCAATGGAAGTTCAGTGTATTCCTTGAGATAATTTCCTCTGTGGTATACACATTGGCATACATTTAATTTTATTTCCAATGTCATGCTTATTTTTTATAATTTCTGGAACTTATTCTTTATTTTGCAATGTGACATGGAAAGTACTCAACAATGTTGCCCATAATCTATCAGTTTTATCTCATGGCTATATAACCCATACATATATTGCAAGTAAGTGTGTTCACCAACTGATAGCCATTTAAGTGCTGGTGGGAATATTCAAAATATAATTAAGAACATGTATAAGTCTTTATCCTTGACAGATAACCAGATGTAGATAGACATCAACAATATATTTAATTGTACTTTAAAGATGTTTCCATATTATACTCCCTCAAAACTAGGTTCTACCAGATTATTCTTTCTGCAAATAATCTGTTGGAAAATAATTTATTGACTCAGTTTTCATTTCCTCAAGCACAAATGAACTTTGTCACATTCTATGTATCACTGACCATTTCACTTCTGTGAATTTCCTACTCATCTTCATCTATTTTCATGTTGGGTTATTGACTTTTTCTTNTATAGGTTATATACATATATTTGATATGCAACTGAGACCTTATACACCTGATCAAGGGGTGAATGTGGTAATGAAAGCAACCAGGTAACTTTTTTTCTTTTTAAACTTTTTACTTTATATTGGGTTATAAATGATTAAGAATGTTGTAATAGTTTTAGGTGACCAGTGAAGGGATTCAGTCATACATACATACACATGTATTCATTTTCCCCTCAAATACCCCTACTATCCAGGCTGCCACATGACATTAAGCACAGTTCCATATGCTATACAGTAAGTCCTTCTTGGTTATCATTTTAATACAGTAGTGTGTACATGTCAGGCTCAAACTCCCTAACTATACCTCCCCCTTATCTGTCCCCTTGACAATCATAATCATAAGTTCATCTTCTAAGTCTGTGAATATGTTTCTGTTTGGCAAGTTCATTTGTAACATTTCTTTTAAGATTCCACATATAACTGATCCCACACAATATTTTTTCTTCTCTGACTTATTTAACTGAGTATGACAGTCTCTAGGTTCATCCATGTTGCTGTAAATGGTATTATTTTGTTCTTTTTAATGGCTGAGTAATATTTCATTGTATATATGTGCCTTATCTTTATCCATTCCTCTTTCAATGGGCCTTTAATTTGCTTCCATGTCTCAGCTATTGTAAATAGTGCTACAATGACAGTGCATGGATCCTTTTGGATCATGTTTTACTCTGGAAACATGCTAAGGAGTAGATTGCAGGGTCATATGGTAGCTCTAATTTAGGTTTTTAAGGAAACTTCATATTATTCTCCATAGTGGTTGTACCAATTTAATTTCCCCACAAGGTGACTAATTTTAAAGATGATGAAAATAGAGATGCTCATGAAATCAAAGATTTTCATAAATATCTCAGTTTTATAATATGAAGCAGATAGCAGTTGCTATATTCCTAATTCCACAAATATTGCGCGTTAAATGAGTTAAACTGGATGAAGGCAAATGACTTGCCATGGCTTTAGATTAAAAAATGATGCTGAGGCTGAATGGATAGTAAAAACCAAATGTTAGTGGTCTCACAAATGAAATGAAGGGATGCATCTTTTGATACAATTCCAATTATTGAATAGTTTCTATAGCAAGATAAAGCTATAGAATTCTACACCAAAACCGAGTAAAAATTCGGAATATCTACAAAATAATATGGATACTATAAATAGACTTATTACTGTTCTTGTAGCTATGCATAACCTGTGAAACACAGTTAAATTCAATGATTTCAGTATAGCTTTTGAATTAAAATAATAAATTTCAGTATATACCCATATACCTTTATTCTCACTGAACTTTTCACCAGTTTTATTTTTGGCATGACTTATTTCTAATTTGTAAACAGGTATAAAATCACTTGAAAATAATTTTGATCTGAGATGCTAAATTGTGAATTGTTTTGCCACAGGGGAAACTCATCATAACTCTTCTGTGCTGGAATACACTGGAGGAGTTCCACCTATGGGCATAACGCCTTCAGCTACTCCCTCTTTTGCTTCTTTCTTGTTTTAGCAAACTTGCGGTAACAAAAGAGAAAGCATTCTGTGATGACAAATACAACAATTGCCACACAGGCCAGTAGAAACCCAATCACATCCAGAGAATGGTACTGGAACCAGGTGAGGTCGTGGGCGGCTGGCCTCAGGTGCTTGGCTCCTTTGTGGCGCATGACAAACTCGATCCAGAAGACCGCTTGGTCCAGGGGCTTTACAGGCTGATCATGGTGAATGGTGGACAACCACACAGCCTTTTCTTTGTAGCTAAAGGAAAAGCAAAGAAACAATTTATAAAATGAGCTAGCTTATGGGGCAACTATTGTATTTGTTATCACCAAATGTAGTGAAACAAATATACTCACGAAGGATTGTTAATGACTTCCTTCAATGCGTTGAGCAAATCTCTTGATGACATTGTTTGCAAGTCCACTCTGACAGCTGCTCCCTTGGCCTTCACCCGCTCAATGTTATCAGGTTGATCAGCAAACAAAGGAAGGCCCACCATAGGGATCCCATGGTAAATGGCCTCATAAATGCCATTGGTTCCACCATGAGTTATAAAGGCTTTGGTTTTTGGATGACCTGGAATTGAGTGAATTTCAGTAAAATTGTTAATTAAAAGTCTTAAAAATAAAACGAGAACTGAGCATTATAAAGCAGCTGAAGTAAGCAGTGTCTTTGAGATAACATACGAAACTATTTAAATTGCTTCAGAACTCAGAATAATAAACCCCTAAATCTGATGGAGAGGTAAGTGAAGACTTTATAAAGACCTATGTCACTTGAACTTCACAAATGAATCCAAGATTGGTGAAAAACCTGAAAGGGAATTCTGGGTAAAAACAACATTTTTGCAACCAAAAAAAGGAGGGCATGTCAGAAATATAATCTCTAAAACAATAATGAAGCCATTTAGCCTGATAGGAAGTGTGTCAAGGCAACAAGGGTAAATGGTAGTGGCAGTGTAACCAGAGGAAGGAAAAGCTACAATTTATTTTGAAATGTGTGACCCCTTGATGTAAAAGCTATGAATTCTTTCTGATAGAAAATGTAGAGCCACAGGTAATAAAAAGAGGAGCTCTTATTTTTAAGTATCATTTAAAATATCCCTAAGGCATGCTCAAAATTCTCCAAGTCAGGCTTCAGTAATACGTGAACCATGAACTTCCAAATGTTCAAGTTGGTTTTAGAAAAGGCAGAGAAACCAGAGATCAAATTTTCAANATAAAAAAAACTGAGCACCAAAGAATTGATGCTTTTGAACTGTGGTGTTGGAGAAGACTCTTGAGTGTCACTTGGACTACAAGGAGATCCAACCAGTCCATCCTAAAGGAGATCAGTCCTGAATATTCATTGGAAGGACTGTTGTTGAAGCTAAGACTACAATACTTTGGCTACCTGATGAGAAGAGCTGACTCATTTGAAAAGACCCTGATGCTGGGAAAGATTGAGGGCATGAGGAGAAGGGGATGACAGATGATGAGATGGTTGGAGGGCATCACCGACTCAATGGACATGAGTTTAGGTAAACTCTGGGAGTTGATGATGGACAGGGAGGCCTGGCGTGCTGCGGTTCATAGGGTTGCAAAGTGTCAGACAAGAGTGAGTGACTGAACTGAACTGAACTGAAAGAGTGGAAAAGATAGGTCTAAGGAGAGAATTCAGAGACAGAACAATGCACAAAGTTACTTAAAATTTCACAGTGAAAAGTAATTATAGCTAAAGTAAATATATTTTGATTTTGGATGTGAAGGAAGTGACCATGTATAACACAATGCTGTTAAATTTTCTCCTCCCCCGCACCACCCTGGGGCTGGAAATAGCAATGAAGGAGTAAAGTTTTCTTACTTACACTCAAAGGAGTGTTCAATAATAAATGTTGGATAAGTTTGTTTCCTATTGAAGTAGTATCACTCTGCTCAGCTGTTACTCATGTTTTCAGTATTTTTCTGCCAAGTCTTACCAAGAAGGTCATTCTGGGGGATCCACTTATACAGGCGGGTATTGGGCCCTAGGGTATCTGGTTTCTTGCCATCATATCTCCATATCACCTGTTAAGGTAAAGGAAATACCTTATTCCATGATTTAAACTTCAAAGTCATAGTGTTAAAATTTTAAGCAAATAAAATTTAAATGTCTCTGTATAACAGATAAATAAATCAGAGCATAAGGTCTTAATTTATAATAACTAATAATATATACTTAATAGCAACACCCACATTTGATGTACTCATTTTTAGGTTCAATCTGAGATGGAATGCAATCATGACATCTCACATATGATGACATAGACAAATAGGTTGTCAATGACAAATTCAAATATTTAAGAAATTTTTAGCTGATCTTATTTCTAGTGCAGAAAGAGTGTGGCAAATTACTAATAAACCACATATTTTTGTTTTAGTTTGTATTCTAAATCTCATTTTCAAATTTATTCACCAATTTCTTTTTAACTGTTATAGAAGTGTTTCCTTATGGCCATATGTTAATACAACTTATTTTATTAGAATTTTACAATTTTTGATTACAAAGAAGAAAATGCACAGAATTTGCAAATTAAGAAAAATGCTCTGCTTATTTATAGTTTATTAATGAGTTAATTAGGGCTGTCTAGGAAATATAACTTCAGATTACAAATTGTTAAACATTACTTCCAAGAACAATGACAACTGGAATTTTTTTTTTACATAAATCCAGATTATTGGAGAAGGAAATGGCAACTGACTACAATAATCCCACTTGGAGTATCCCATGGAGAGAAGCAAGGCAGGCTACAGTCCATGGGATCATAAGAGTCAGACATGACATTAACTATACCACCACCACCAGATTATTACCACTATTATCATATTAGGCTTGGAAATGTTTTACCTTTAGAAAAAAAAGAGTTGGTTGGTAATTTGTAAGGGACAACAAGGCTATTGGAAAAGTTTCAAAATTGTGTCACTAAAGTTATTCAACTGACCCTGAATGCTTCAACAACGAAGCAGAAAGCACCGACAGCATTGATTAATATGGTCTCTAGGTGTCGTAGCAAAGTAAGGACCAGTTTTGTAATTCCAAACAATTCTTATAAACTAGATTATAATTTAGTAGTGTTTAACTTCTATTTGCTCTGTGAATGTAAAGTAACTTAGTTTTTCACCAAAAATTAGCATAAAAAATTATGAGAAGCCAACCTTTCTCTGAATAGCAACCTAGAAAGCACACTGATTAGGTCTGTTCCAAAACTGAGGGGATGTAAAAGGGACCAGGAATTCCTGGCAAGTACAAACTGCAAGAAGCACTCCAGACTTTCATCAATATTGCTTAACATTATTGAGAGGCTACATATACCATGAAAATTCAACTCCTGAGAACATCTGTGTGTCCAGGAGTCCTTTGGGAAAATGGGCAAATGACAAGACAGAATTTGGTGATTTCTTTTCCTGTCCACACTACCATTACAATACCAAAATTCACACTGCATCTCTTAAATATTTTTCTTTGTGATTACAGTTTTAATTCAAATTTAATGTCAGTTGAAGACATTCTATGTACTGTTCTACCATCTACCATGTATATATATATATATACATATATATATATATATATAATCTGAGAAAGTTTGGAGATATCTTAACAGTTTGTCCTTCTTGCATAATATATCTGTAATTAGGCTTTTTACAGAATTTAATAGTTTCCTTAAGTACTTTTTCACTATTAAGTTACTTTACATACTTTTTGTGGAATCTGGGCAAGGGTTGATGCAATTACATTGACTTTTTCTTCTGTTATGTTACTGATCATTGACCCCAAAGTAAACACCACAATACCATTTTCTCCAGAGCTCTGAACAAACTCTTCCATTTCCTGTGAAAAAGAATTTACTTTATCACAAATGAGCAACAACAACATAGCAAACAATATTGAAAAGTTTACAAAAAAAAAAAAAACTAAAGAGACAAAATCAGATATAGTCTAGAAATTATTAGTCACTGTTGTTTTTTTTTTTTAATATCATGGTAAAATGAATACAAGATAAAATTTTACCATCTTAATCATTCCTATGTGCATGGTTTGATAATATTAATTATATTCACATTGTGCACCAATCTCCAGAACTTTTTCATCTGACAAAAATGGAAGTCTGCACCCATTAAGAAACTTCATTTTCATCTTTCCTCAGTCCCTGGCAACCATTATTCTACTCTATGTTTGCACAGATTAGATTAGTCTAGATACTTTTTTCAAGTTGAATTGTACAGTCTGTCTTTGCACCTTTGGCTTAATTCACTTAGCATAAGATTCATTCATGTTGTGGCATGTGTCAAAATTTTCCTTTAAAGACTGAGTAATACTCCATCTTTTTTGTATCTACAACATTTTTTTTTTATTCTGTTTATAGACATTCAATTGCTTCAACCTCTTGGCTCTTACGAATAGTGCTTTCATGGATATGGTGTGAAAATATCTCATTGGGATCCTCATTTCAATTCTTTTTAGTATAAAACCAGAAGAGGAATTGCTAAATCATACGTATCGGTGCTAGGTTTCAACAGCACGTGAACTGAGAACTCCTAGGTATACAGCCTGGATTAAAAAAGGCAGAGGAACCAGAGATCAAATTGCCAACATCCGTTGGATCACAGGAAAAGCAAGGGAATTCCAGTGAAACATCTACTTCTGCTTATTGATCATGATAAAGCCTTTGACTATGTGGATGACAACATACTGTGGAAAAATTTTAAAGAGATGGGGATACTGCCCTACCCGCATCCTGAGAAATCTGTATGCAGGACAAGAAGCAACACTTACAACTGGGCATGGAACAACAAACTAGTTCAAAATTGGGAAAAGACTAACTCAAGGTTGTATCTAGTCACTCTGCCTATTTAAGTAATAGACAGAGTATATCATGCAAAATGCCAGGCTGGATGAAACATAAGCTGGAATCAAGATTGTTGGGAGAAATATCAACAACCTCAGATATGCAGATGACACCACCCTAATGGCAGAAAGTGAAGAGGAGCTAAAAAGCCTCTTGAGGGTGAAAGAAGAGAGAAAAAACGCGCGCAAAAAACAAAAAACACAAAAAACACACAACAGGATATCGGGAGAGGATAACACCACAGGAAAAAGAGAGGAAAAAAAAGAAAAACAAAAAGACTTTATTTTGCGGGGCTCCAAAATCACAGTGAATGGTGACTGTAGATATGAAATTAAAAGATGCTTGAAAGGAAAGCTGTGACCAACTTAACATATTCAAAAGCAGAGACATCACTTTGCTGACAAAGGTCCATACACTCAAAATATGGTTTTTCCAGTAGTCATGTATTGATGAGAGAGTTGGACTCTCAAGAAGGCTGAGCACCAAAGAACTTATTCTTTCAAACTGTGGTGCTGGAGAAGACTGTTGAGAGTCCCCTGGATAGCAAGGAGATCAAACCAGTCAATCCTAAAGGATATCAACCCTGAATATTCATTGGAAGGACTGATGCTTTGGCCAAAACTTCGGCCAGCTAATGCGAAGAGTTGATTCATTGGAAATTACCCAGATGCTGGGAAATACTGAGGGTAGGGGGGAAGGAATGACAGAGGATGAGCTGGTTGGATAACATCATTGACTCAATGGACATGAATTTGAGCAAACTCCAGAAGATAGTGAAGGACAGGGAACCCTGGCATGCTGCAATCCATGGGGTGGCAAAGAGTCAAACATAATTGAGTGAACAGAAACAGTAACCTGTATTGACAGGTTTAAATTAGGAAGTGTGTATTATTCTTATCACATACTATATAGTTAGTTTATAAAGTGGTTTCCCTCCTGCCCTCTTGATTCTTGAACATGCTAACTTCACATCTGCAACTTTAGTCAGTTTTGGTACTCAATATTAAACACCAAAAATTCATTTTAGAAAATTCTGAGGATACTCCATACTGTTTTTGAAGGTGAAAGTGTTAGTTGCTCAGTCCTGTTTGACTCTTTGTGACCCCATGGACTGTAGCCCACCAGGGTCCTCTGTCATGGAGTTCTCCAGGCAAGAATACTAGAGTGGTTTGCCTTTTCCTTCTCCAGGGGATCTTCCCTGCCCAGGGATCAAACCTGGGTCTCCCCCATTGCAGGCAGGTTCTTTATCATCTGAGCCACAACAGAAGGTCCTACTGTTTTTAGTAATAGCTGTCTTTTTTAACATATGACATCCCTGAGATCCTTGGGAAGGAAATGGATGAGATGAGGTCAATTTCTTCTATTTTGTGTATTTGTACAAACGTGTTTGTGTATAAGTGGGAAATGAGATAGAGCCAATACACAGTGGTGACAATGAGATACTGTGAAATGATATTATACTGAGACTCTTCATCAGTTATGTTATTAATTACTAACAGATTCCTGGAAATCTACAGTGCAGGGTTCATTTCACCTCTAATTCTTTATTACTATAGATCTACTAAATCATTTATTTATTTCAGACAGATTTTCTGGAGAATTATTTTAAATTTTAGTTTATTCATTATGATATCATTTTCCTTACTGTGAGCACTAAGAAAAATCTATGATTCAAACTTGTTTATATTTGTCATTCTCTCATTGTCTTACATGAAACTTTGTCAAAATTTCCCAAACTCTGTCTCACTAAATTACTAATTACCAATATTTTAGAGTCTGGCTTGTAGTTTGAAAGTTCTATGAAACAGTCCTATGAATCTTATATATAAGCCAGAGATATGCTTGAGTAACAAAGTCAGACATGATTTAGCAATTGAATAACAACAGCCATGCTGGAGCAGTTACATATTTGAGTTACCATATTACTGGGTTTATTTATATATGACATCCTTTGTCATGAACTAATATTGTATAATTGATGTCAGAGTAGACTGCTATGTGTAACCACTGTGAGAGAACCTAACATCATCACCTCAGTCCCCCCAAGAGCACAGTGGGAGAAGTACCCCCTTGGCCTTCTGCAGTAGAGATCTGGTCACATTTTGAGTTCACGTGAAACTAAATAAAACTCCTCAGAAGTTCAGTTCAGTCACTAGGTCATGTCTAACTCTGTGACCTCATGGACTGTAGCATGCCAGCTCCTAGTGAATCTGTATTTTCCTGGAACTGTTTCTGAATTATTTTGTCTTGTGATTCTTGACTCCACTTCATTTTTAAAAATTGTTGCATTTTATTCTACCATTAACAGAGAAATTCCACATTTCTCAATATACTTTATTACAAAAAATATAAATGAGCAAAATTTTCCTGGATATCTAATATAATCCATGTACTCACCTTGTCTTATTTCTTTCTTCTATTTTAAATTCACTATTCTTTTCTCTCTGGAGATAATGACTGAACTCCTCTATCATAGAATGTATACTTTCTGATCCTAATTTTTGGCATCAAATTTTTTTCAAAACTATATTAACAGAAAAAAGAAACAAAAAAATATGTTCAGACTTTAATATTGCAGACTACATATTATGTAGCACATTTTTCAGAATATAATTTCATCCTAATGATATCAGTCACAGTGATAAGGCCACTAAACTTTCTTGTCTCTCACAAGGTGCGTCCAAGTAATGTATGCATTCTAGTGACCTATAGCAGAATTTAAATTTACTTGTCTTCAATGTTTTGTCTCAATGACTTGCTACCTAATGGTGTTTCATCTATACTCTGAAAGATGCATCTGTTTGTTATTATTATAATATATTCTCTTTTCACAAATTAATTACTGATATGTACTGGCTATTCTCATTCCCTGATAATTTTTATGAAAATAACACAGGTTCATGGCAAAAAAAAAATATGCAAAAGCATAGAAAATCAAAATAAGAAATGGATTTACTAAACTCTCTATGCAGGAATTCCTTAGTTTCAAATTCACATGTTTTTAGAAGAAATTGAAATATATCTTATATAGAAAATATTATATGGTATCAAACATATAACTTGATTTGATAATTTATATTTTGTAATATGATTGCCATTTTATTATTGATTGAACCTCTATTATGTCTAGTAATTATCATTACTTTTTGTGGTGGGTATAATTAAGATATAGTCCCTTGGAAAGTATGATGATAATATTATACTCATGTATATTCCCTATTCTGTACTTTAGATCTCTAGGACTTATTTACTACAGGATGCAAACTTGTGCCCTTAAATATCTCTCCTATTCTCCTATCCTTTAGTCCTTGGTAATCTCTATATTACTTCTGTTTTTACAAATTTGGCATTTTTAGATTCTGGGTCCAAGTGATATCATGCACTATTTTTTTCTGTTTTTTTTTTTCAAAAAAATAAGCAAAACTAACAACATCTAACCAGATTTACCAAGAAAAAAGGATTCAAAACATGAAAATAAAATAGGAGACATTACAACTGATATGACAATCATATGTAGGCTCATAAGAGACTACTATGATGAATTACATGGTAACAAATTACACATTGGAAAAGAGTCGACAACTTCCTAGAAACACACAATCTAAACAACCAAGACTGAAACAGGAAGAAATAGAAAATCTGGACTGTCCCAATGAGTAAAGATATTGAATCATAAATCAAAAATCTCCTAGCACGCAAAACTCAGAACCAGATGCATTCACTGATAAATTCTATGAATATTTAAAGAAAATTAATGTCAGACCTTCAGAAAAATCTTCCCCAAAATTAAGGGAATGGAGGGAACCTTTTCAAACTCATTCTACAAGGCCAGAATTACCCTGATACCAAATAGATGAGCACATTACAAGAAAAAAACTACAGGCCAATATCCAGACTGAATGTATATGTAAAGATTATCACTAAAATATCAGCAAGCTGAGTTTAAGAATACATTTAAAACTTATATACTGTCACCAATGGAATATTTCTCTGGGATGTAATATGGTCCAATATACCCCCAAAATATTTGTAATATGTTGTATTAATAGAATGAAATATAAAATAGCTTGGTCATTTCAACAGATGTACAAAAAAATTAAAAAAGCATTTGAAAAGATACAGCATTCTTTCATGATAGAAACCCTCATTTTTTAGGTATAGAGGGAACATACCTCAATGCAATAAAGGATATATATATATATATATATATATATATATATATATATATATACCCAAAGCTAACATTATCCTCAACAGTGAAAACTTGAAAGTTTTTTCTGTAAGACCAGGAACAAGAAAAGGATGCCCTTCTTTTTTTTTTTTTTTTAAGGATGCCACTCTTACACTGATTCAACATTGTACTAGAAGTCCTAGTTAGAGTAACTAGGCAACACAAAAGAATAAAAGGCTTCTTAATCAGAAAGGAGGGCTTCTCAGTGGTAAAGAATCTGTCTGCCAGTGCAGTAGATGTAGGAAATGCGGGTTCAGTCCCTGGGTTGAGAAGATTCCCTGGAAGTGGAAATGACAATGCACACCAGTACTGTAGCCTGGAAAATTCCATGGACAGAGGAGGCTGGGGGGCTACAGTTCAGAGGATTGCAAAGTCAGACACAACTGGGTACGTGAGCACACATGCATGCAAACAGAAAGAAAGAAATAAAATGGTCATTTTTTGCAGATGGCATAGATTTTAGAGCAGAAAAGATAGATTTAACCACAAAACTGAGCTAATCAACAAATTCAGTAAAGTTGCAGGATGTAAAATCACTATAGAGAAATTAGTTACATTTGTATGTACTATTAATGGAAAAGCTACCCCATTTACAACAGGACCAAAAACAATAAAATAACTAGAAATGTAACCAGTAAAGTGAAAGATTTTTACAGTGATAACTCCAAGACTTTGTTGAAAGGAATAGAAGAAAACACACATAAATGGAAAGATATCCTATGTTCACAGATCAGGATATTTATATTGTTAAAATATCCATGTTACCCAAAGCCAAAGTCATCACACCTCCAAACTTCAAATTGTGGTACAAAATTGAAGTTGCTCAGTCATATCTGACTCTTGTGACCCCATGGACGATAGCCCGCCAGGTTCTTCCATCCATGGGATTTTCCAGGCAAGAATACTGGAGTGGCCATTTCCTTCTCCAGGGGATCTTCCCAACCCAGGGATCGAACCCCAGTTCCCAGCATTGAAGGCAGATTCTTTACCGCTGAGCCACAAGGGAAGCCCATCGACTTTGTTATAGTCTAAAGGGATAGCATTTAAAGCAATGTGGTACTGGCCTATAAATGCATACATACCAGTGAAGCATAATACAGGGTCTAGAAAAAATCCCTGCATATATAGCAAACTAAAATTCAACAAAAGAGCCAAGATACCCAGTAGGGAAAGAATAATCAGTTCTTTTACTTCTGAGAAATTTGAATAAACATAGGCAAAAAAAAAAAAAAAGAAATGAGACCCCTATTTTACACCCTCAAAACATTACCTCAGATTTATCAAAGACTTAAGCATAACACCAGATACCATAATATTTTTAAAGAAAATGTAGAGATGATACTCCTAAACAGTAGTCTTGAAAGTGATTGTTTTTGAATATGACATTAAAAAAAATCAACAAGAGGGACTACATCAAACTTAAAAGCTTCTGCACAACAAAGGAAACAATCAACAAAATGAAAAACTACAGAATGGGAGAAAAATTTCACAAATTACATATTGACTGAAGAACTAAAGTCTAAAATATATATAGCACTCAGAAAACTCAATAGAAACAAAAATTCAATTAGAGAATAAGCAGACAAACAAAACAGACATTTTTCAAAGAAGACGTCCAAATGGCCAACAGTTATCAATATCACTAATTATCAGGGAAATGCAAATCAAGGTTAGAAAGTCTACACCAAGAAGAGGAAAGTGTTAGTAAGAGTGTGAATAAAAGTCAATACTTTTACACTGACAATGGGAATGTAAATTGGTTCCACCTTTATTGAAAACAAAATGAAATTTCCTCAAAAAATTAAAAGTAGATTCATTGTATGATCCAGAAGTTCTACTTCTGCATATATAACCGATGGAAATAAAAACAGGGTAGATGAAATACATGCACTCCCATGTTTATTGCAACAATATTTGCAGTAATCAAGGGAACAACTTAAGTGCCCATCAATGGATGAATCCATAAAAATGATGTGATAAATATGTACACAAACACAAACATGAACACACACACTCAGAATATAATGTTATTCACCCATGAGAAAGAAGGAAATCCTGCTATTTTTGACAACTTGAATAAGCATAGAGGGCATAATGCTAAAATTTATGCTTTCATTCTAATCTTTATTCTACTCCTATCATTAAATGTGCATTTGATATATATATTTTGAAAATTGTAATGCCAGCTTATAGTACTTTTTATCCTAGAAGAAAATTGTGATCTTATTATATTTGCTTTTGCCAACTAAACTTCATAGTTGACAGTGTAATTAAGCATTCTTTGATGAAATCATCATGATGGTATGATGTGAACATTTATAACATTGCTTTATTTCTGTTATTTCCAGTGTTGACATTTTTAAATTATTGTCCAAAATATTGTGCTAGGACATCTTGATTATTTTCTCTGTATAGTTTCATATAAGTATATTATAAAGCTAAAATCTATAAGCATTTTTATGACTCGATGCATTTTGTCAAATATCCTAATTCTTTAAAAAGTGCAGAAATTTTCTGGAATCCAATAATTACTGGAAAAGTTAGTAGTGTGAATAGATAGTTTCCTTATGCAATGAAGTCCTCACAGTCATTGGGAATTATATCTTGTTTCTTCAGCTTGATATTACTGATTTATCATGATTATACTACCATTCATGTTTCCCTTTGTTCTTCTTCCTCCTCTCCTAACCTCCCCACCTACTAATATTATCACTCTCCTGAAATGAAGAAATGGAAATTTCAAAAATATGGTTTTAGATAGCATAGAACTGTCACTATCTTATCTCAGCCTTTGGACTCTGGGAAGGTTACCATAGGTAATCCAAATAATTTGCAATCAAAACAGATATTACACACTGCTGTATCTAAAATGGATTACCAGCAAGGACCTAAATGATAACATAGGAAACTCTGCTCAATGTTAAGTGGCAGCCTAGATGGGAGGGGAGTTTTTGGGAAAATGGAGACATGTATGTGCATGGCTGAGTCCCTTTGCTGGCCACCTGAAGCTGTAAAAACATTGTTAATTAGCTATAAGCCAATAAAATTGGAATTAGTGTAAAAAACAGAGAGAGAGAGAGAGAGAGAGAGAGAGAAAAAAACAGTTATTGAATTTTACCCTTGCCACCAATAAAGAGTTGACAAAAATGATCTATTATGGGTTCACAGGACCTCCCTGGTGGCCCAGTGGTTAAGAATCCTCCTGGCAATGCAGAGAATGTGTGTTTGATCCCTGGTTTGGAAAGATCTCACCTGCCTCAGGGCATCCCCAGGGGCAATTAATCACATTCACCACCGCCACTGACCCTGCAAGTCTAGAGCCTGCAGGCCACCACAGTGAGAAGCCCGTGCACTGCAACTAGAGAAAGCCAGCACAGCAACGAAGACACAGTACAGACAAAAATTCATTAATTTTTAAAAAGAGACCACAAAACAGTTGGCTAAAGATTGCTTGCTTTTTATTTATGTCTTAAGTCAATTTAAAAGAGACTAGATTATTGCTTTCTTTCATAAGGAATATTACCCTATAAATAGAATTCCTTATATTCTGAAACAACAGATGGTTTTAGATTCAATTGCTAGAAATTGTGACCCCCCACCTTTTTTTTTAATCTGTAAATTATTTATGGTTCTTATAAATGGTGGCTCAGACGGTAAAGCATCTGTCTCCAATGCTGGAGACCCAAGTTCGATCCCTGGATCGGGAAGATCCCCTGAGAAGGAAATGGTAACCCACTCTAGTACTCTTGCCTGGAAAACCCCATGGACAGAGGAGCCTGGTAGGCTTCAGTCCATGGGGTCGCAAAGAGTCGGACACGACTGAGCGACTTTACTTACTTACGTATGCAGGGTAGATTTTCTCTGTGCTCATTCTGTTAAGCATCTATGATGCTGAGACCTGCATTCCTTAAGGGAACTTTTACTGAGGTTTTCTAAATGGTTCTGGAGAAAACTCTTGAGAGTCCCTTGGACTGCAAGGAGATCAAACCAGTCAATCCTGAAAGCAGTCAACCCTGAATATTCTTTGGAAGGACTGATGCTGAAGCTGAAACTCCAGTACTTTGGCTACCTGATGTGAAGAGCCAACTCATCAGAAAAGACTCTGATGCTGGGAAAGATTGAGGGCACGAGGAGAAGGGGACAACAGAGGATGAGATGGTTGGATGGCATCACCAACTCAATGACATGAGTATGAGGAAACCCCCAGGAGATGGTAAAGGACAGGGAAGCTTGGTATGATGCAGTCCATGGGGTAGCAAAAAGTCAGACACGACAGAGAAATTGAATAACAAGAGGATTAGTGTAGGCAAAAAACATCTATTATAATAGATGGAGTTATTTCTTTTATGCTGTAAGATATAAACCCCTGGGATTTCAAATGAAGAATGGTTTAAATGCTGATGTGAAAGCAAGTACGGGTTAGATTTAGCTGCAGATTACTAATGCATACATTTATATTGTTGAAGAAAATTTTTCATTTTATCTAGAGTACTGGTAAGGAGCCTCAATCCTTACAAAAAATATTTTACATATTGCTTGTCTGATAGCCAAAACCTTAAAATGCTTAATATTAAAAAAGTTTAAATGTCAATTAGATTTTATTTAAAGTAAATTTTGTTGAATTTATTAAATTATTTTTATTACCTTTTAGTTAACTTTTAAAATTTGCTTTTAAAAGATTCCATGGGATAGCTATTCTCTGACAGTTTGCTGGATAATATAATCTTGATGATTAGGAAAATAATTTCAATTTCAATTAGAAATTAGATCTATGTGGCTGGCACACATTGGGTTATTGAGAGTATGTTATAGCAACAAAATAACAGTAATGAAAATAATTAATATTTCTTCTGGACCACTGAGTATGGGCCAGTGACATTTTAGATATTTCACATGTATTAACACATTTTTTCCCCTCAAGGACAATTTGAGGTTGATACTATTATTATAAATTAGTGTGGTTATATCTCTATGAACATTTTTGTCTAGTTTTCCATCACTGCCTATGTCTTGCAACAACCTGCTAAATGGTGTCCCTTTCCACTCTTGCCATGTTACAATCCAACCCAGTGACTACATCCAGTGATTTTTTTTTAATGTTATCATCTCTCCCTTTTCTTCACCCTTTTAATTTTCTCCCTTACATCCTACTAGATGTGCTAAACTCCTTACAATAATACGTCTGCAACTTAACTCTTCAGCATTTTCTGCTTCTTTACTCAGCCTCTTCCTGTTTAGACTGAACTTGGACTTCTTGGAAACTGTCATTACTATGCTTTCCTTTTGTATCTTCCTCTACCTTCAGTTCAGTCCAGTTAAGTAGAGTTCAGTCACTCAGTCATGTCCAACTCTTTGCGGCCTCACGGACTTCCTACTTTAGCATTCCAGTCCCCTACAATTAAAAGGATATCTTTTTTGGATGTTAGTTCTAGAAGGTCTTGTAGGTCTTCATAGAACCGTTCAACTTCAGCTTCTTCAGCATTACTGGTTGGGGCATAGACTTGGATTACTGTGATATTGAATGGGTGGAATATCAGAGATCAAACACAGATTAATCTTAAATTGATGGAAATGAACAGAGATCATTATGTCATTTATATGACTGTATCCAAGCATTGCATTTCAGACTCTTTTGTTGACTATAGTGACTACTTCATTTCTTCTAAGGGATTCTTTCCCACAGAAGTAGATATAATGGTCAGTTGAGTCAAATTCACCCATTCCCAACCATTTTGCTTTGCTGATTCCTAAAATATCCACATTCCTTACCTTCAATTATTCCTGAGCATCCTTTATATTTCACCTTAATTATCAATGCCTCCAAGATATTACTGGGAGAAATATCAATAACCTCAGATATGCAGATGACACAACCCTTATGGCAGAAAGTGAAGAAGAACTAAAGAGTCTCTTGATGAAGGTGAAAGAGGAGAGTGAAAAAGTTGGCTTAAAGCTCAACATTCAGAAAACTAAAATCATGGTATCTGGTCCCATCACTTCATGAAAAACAGATGGGGAAATAGTGTCAGACTTTATTTTTCTGGGCTCCAAAATCAATGCAGATGGTGATTGCAGCCATGAAATTAAAAGACGCTTACTCCTTGGAAGGAAAGTTATGACCAACCTAGACAACATATTAAAAAGCAGAGACATTACTTTGTCAACAAAGGTCTGTCTAGTCGAGGCTATGGTTTTTCCAGTAGTCATGTATGGACATGAGAGTTGGACTGTGAAGAAAGTTGAGCACGGAAGAATTGATGCTTTTGAACTGTGGTGTTGGAGAAGACTCTTGAGAGTCCCTTGGACTGCAAGGAGATCCAACCAGTCCATTCTAAAGGAGATCGGTCCTAGGCGTTCATTGGAAGGACTGATGTTGAAGCTGAAACTCCAATACTTTGGCCACCTGATGCGAAGAGCTGACTCACTGGAAAAGACCCTGATGCTGGGAGGGATTGAGGGCAGGAGGAGAAGGGGATGACAGAGGATAAGATGGTTGGATGACATCACCGACTCAATGGACATGGGTTTGGGTGGATTCCGGGAGTTGGTAATGGACAGGGAGGCCTGGCGTGCTGCGGTTCATGGGGTTGCAAAGTGTTGGACATGACTGAGCAACTGAACTGACTGACCAAGATATTTTCTCTGATTCCTGCAGGATGTTTCTTTGGCATTTTGGTCTTTCCTTATAGTAACACATTTTATTACTTGCTTTCATTCTGTCTGGTGACCTGGCATGCTGCAGTCCATGGGGTCGCAAAGAGTTGGACACAACTGAGAGACTGAACTGAACTGAACTGAAGACTTCTTATCCATAAAGGGACCAAACCAGACATACACATTATGGTTAAGGTTCTTACTCATCATCCTGGTAGCAGGTAAAGATATCCAAGTTTATTCAGGATTCTCAGGGGGCTGTTGAAAGTAGATATCAAGTCCAATCACCTTGGAACAAGTTCTGGAGTACCAAAGAGATTCAGTTAAAATCAATTGTAAAAGTGAAAAGTTACAGCATATGCCCTGTGACAATAGTGGAAGTAGATATTTGTTGTCATTACTTTCAGTGTAGATAAGGAGAAAATACTTTCTTTTTCAACTTGACATTGCCCTGAAATTTCCTAAACATAAATCCATTATCTTTCTTTCATTATCTTGTATCAACATGTTTTATCACTCAAACTCAGCTCTACCATTTTGTAAGAAGTGTATGATTTAGGATGACACAAAGATAAGTTAACAATTTAATAAAAACTGATTATTATCTTAAGCAATGACAATAACAGTTATACAAGCTTTAAGTATTCAGTTCTTAGTATCTTGACTCTCATAAAGGAATCCCACAAATCTCAGAAACCAAACCTAAATGAGCTGGCTTAACCTGAATATCATTATTTCTTTCTCCATTTTTATACTCTAGTCTTCTGAAAAGTTTTTTTACAAAGATGAATTCAAGATGAATAGTACTGGGCTCCCCTGGTGCCTCAGTGGTAAAGAATCTGCCTGCCAGTGCAGGAGACATGGGTTCAATCCCTAACCCAGGAAGATCCCACATGCAACTAAGCAACTAATCCCATGCACCACAACTACTAAAGCCAGTGCCCCCTAGACTAGAGCCCATGTTCCACAACAGGAGCAGCCAGCACAATGAGAAGCCCTTTTACCATAGCTAGAGTGGTCTCTGTTGACTGCAACTAGAGAAAAGCCCACACAGCGATGAAAACTCAGCACAAACAAAAATAAATAAATAAATAATTATTATTTTAAATGAATGGTACCTTTTTAATCAGCAGAATTTTAAGGGATCAACTTGTCTTGCTATTTCAGTGTAATTGACCATTTCTAAACTAATTGCAGTTTAAAAAGATTCGTTTGTAGATTACATATTTTGGAAGATATTTTCCAGTGTTACCTGTTCTGTAGTTTGACCTGTTCTCAGTCAGCCTAGACAAAACTTTTCCTAGAAACAATTTGGTTCACAAAATATTGTACATGAGAAAATATCCTATATGTCATAATCACTGTAAACAATAACTCTCTGGAATGTGTAATCATTGTTACAACTTGTAGTCTCAAATCAGGTAAGGGCCCCTATTGATGACTGTACATCCTGAAACTTTTGTTCAGACAAATAACAACACATATAGGCTGAAATATATTGACATTTACATCTACTGACTCATGTTTCAGGAAAATAAGTCAAAATGTCAGTGTGTATTAAGAGAGAATAGGAAGGAGAACCATTTTATGTTACTATTTTTTTTCATTTTTAACAAATAAAAAACAAACTGTAACTGGCCCACTTCTAACATTTGCAAGTTCAGGACAAGAGCACAAATGAAATTCTTGGCCCAGAGTCCAACCTAGCTCCATTTACCACCCAGAAGGATCTCAAACAAATGTATTTAAACAAACTAAGCCACTATCTTAAGTTCTGTCCACACCCCTCTTCCAGACAAAAAGTCACCACTTGACCATCTTTCAAGCCTAGGGTTACACAGGCCTGCAATAGAGAGAGGTCTGCCCTGAGGAGGAACGACCTGGAAAGAAAACTTCATAGAAATAGGAGTAGGTTAGGGCTCCCACTAACCCACTCCAGGATTTGGAATTGTGAAAATATGGTCAAGAAGAAAGCACAGATTCCCTGGCTTCCTGGACTCCTTACTCCATAGAGAGGTACAGATAGACAAGGACCAGAGTATGGCTTTCTAAAGCTTATAAGCAGGTAATAGCCAGAAATATATTTATTCCCACTAAAGTAAGACTAAAGTAATTAAAGTAAAGCAGATCTTGGGGACAGATGAGAAGTGAAAAATAAAGAATTGTAGCACCATGAAAACCCAGCCTAGCAGACAATGTAGAGGGTGGAGCTGAGCAGCGAAGGATGGTTTTCACTTTGTGGCATTCTCTAGCTGCTTAATTTTTTTTTTTTTCCTCGTATTGGTTATAACAGGCGGGCTCTCTTGTCCCTATGTTTGCACCAGACACCTAATACTTTAACCAGGACTTTGCGCTTCCTTTATTGACAGCAAAAATCAGCTGTCTTACAGTTATTTGCAAATACCTCTCTCTTAGGACAGTTTACAACATACATCATAGCATATTGGACAGGAAACATAGGAGAAATCTATGCACTTTGTAGAGATCCCACAATACTTCTTTTACTTAGAATCAATAGGGACAACGGAGAAGGAAGTGGCAAGCCACTCCTGTATTCTTGCCTGAAGAATCCCATGGACAGAAGAGTCTGGTGGGCTACAGTCCATGGGGTTGCAAGGTTGGACATGACTTAGCGACTAACCCACCAAACCAATAGGGAAAAAAAAATAGTAAAAATTAAAATAAAATGATATATTTTATTCCAATGAATAAAACTAAGGGCAATTAAGATTTCAGCTATAATAGGAAATTTTGTTTAAATACTCATCATTAACACTATTGTGGTGGTTTTAAAAAAACATGGTTGTAAAATGTTTAATGCCCCTGTCAATGAAAGGAGTCTTTGTCACCTCTCCTTGAGTATGGATAAAGCTGTGACTGCTTTAATTAAAAGAATATTTGAGAAATGATACTTTCTAACTTCTAATGCTAGATCATAAAATGATATAACAGTCATCTTGTTCTCTAAGACACATGTTCTCGGAGCCCTGAGTTTCTGGGAATAAGTCAAACTTCACTGAAGTCACCATGCCATGAGGAAGCCCAAACCACAGGAAAGAACACGTCTGTAGGATTTTCATGGACTGCAAAATTATCTGGACATAGAGTAAAGTTATTGGAATTTTTTCCAACATATATATAATGAGATTGAAGGAAAAAGAATGCACTGTTATTGTAGGAGAAAGGAAATTTGAGAGGGAAAGGAAGAAAAAAGAAATGTTTTTCATTTTAGAATTTTTACAAAAATCTATTGAACTGTATGATGACTTTGTAAATAATTTTGCATGGTCTTTAAAAGTCAGGACAAAATGAAAAATATGTGTGGATTTAGTTTGAAATTCATTCATATCTCTTGAAAGACATTGTATTATGTTTACTTCATATGATTTTGTTCATATGAGCATATGACTGTGCTCACTTCAGGAGAAAGAATAACCAACTTGTCTTACTGGCTTTCAGGATCAAAGAATTATTTAATCTATAATAAACAAGCCATTGTTTTGGCTTAAAATGAGACTTTTGTTTATTTCTTTGACTTCCATTACCCTTTTCAGGATCCATGTAAGTGTCAGTGTTAGCTTGAACAGGGTTGTTTTCCTGGCAGCCAGGTCACCTAGTAAGTCATTATCACCTCACGTCAGAATGTTCTCACTA